AGGAAAGTAGAGGCTGAAGACGCGACCGCAGTGAAGACCCTCGCCGATGTACATAAAAAATTCGCGTAGCGCCATAGACACGGTGTGCGCCGGGACCGCACAAAGCCGCACAACATCCGCCGTGTCGATTTTGCTAAAGCCTCGATTGGTCTTCTCCAGGGGAACCTTGTAGTCATCTATGCCGTACCGATTCGCAAACTTAGTATTTATGCCAAAACACAGCCTTCGCACATAATAGCGCATATGGTAGATAGGATCCGTCACACCGAGACGGTTCTCAGTCCAGAAGGAGCCAAAATTATCAATCCTCACGTTCTTTCCCTCAATCAGTAAGCGCCGCACGATGACAGAGACGGACACCCAAACCTTCTCCAACTCACTAAGCAGGAAAACTTCCTTATTGCTCGCATTTTGCCCGCGGGCGCATTCTAACATGGCCACGTTGGTAGTAATAGCTCCACGCGTACTTAACATTTTACCCTCCTTTTCTCTCACGATTTTGCTGATTCAGCAACCGAATGGATCGCTTCCTTTTCGTGCGATTTGTGTATCCTAAAATACTTACGAACCAGATTGAGGTCAAAATCCAACGAGGAAAAATAAGATAAAGGACTTATCACACGAGAAGCTGAAAAACTAGAGGGTTCACCAGCGGAACTTAACCTACAATATTTTCACTTTTTAGACGAAAAACAAAGCGATCGGACTCAAAAGTAATATACAAAAGCACCCCTCTACGTGTCTAGCTTCACTTGTGACCTTGATAAATAAAAAATAAAAACGATGCGCACAGAAGACTAACAATAGTTGCAATACGACATCCAGAGCATGACCGAAACGCACTGACACTTTCCCTGCTGGGTTGGGTGGTTCGGTTAGGCTCCATACGTCAGCACCCGCGGCACAACTCCCACATGCTTTTGGTTTGGCGTAAAAAGAGAAAAATTGCATTCATCGTCTTCGCAATCTACTTAAAAAATTATTACCTTAACCTAAATGATTTAGGTATTTTTTACTAGTCCAGCGCAGTCGCAGGACTGTTTAGAAGCCCTCTCCTAAACAGATTGACTATTTATTTCGACGGTCTCATCATCTACTTGGCCTATATTGTTTGAAGCCTATATGGGCCTACGAAAACAAGAAAAATAGGAGCTTCACACTTGGTGTTAATGTCGGTTTAGCATGAATGAATTGGGCTCCCGACCTGATCACCATGTCCATCCATTACAATTTGGTAGCCCCTCTCGGTATCGTATTGCGCTTGCCGAAACCATCTTCTTGCTGATGCGAATTCCCTTCCAAACGAGAGACTTTAGGCACTGCTGAATCTGCCATCACCCCTAATAATTGGTATGTGACATCACATGCCTTAGCAATTTCCCTAAAAAGGGATGTGCCCATTGAGACCACGTACTTGTTTACGCCGGATTCTGTCATAGTATCGATGTGCTGCACCACCAGATCGTTGACGCAGGGGCTATAAGTGTCGAATAGAGGGGCTAAAAATTTTTCATATATTTTCAGCGCACCAAGAAGGGTTGGATTAGAAAGGTACATGCAGAGAATAATGCGCACAAGAAGGTATAGACTGCGCATAGTGAAGAAAGGTGACAGGAACAAAGCGTCGGAAAAGCTTATTAACCATCCTAGGATGAGTGCCAACGTGATGTTGGTAACCTGACGTGGATCCGGACTCTTTTCCTTCGTAAGCTGGGCACTGTAAATCAATGGGTGGAGAAACGTGAAGTACCCCAATAATACGTTTAAAATGCCAGTAAACATTTTAGTGTCGTAGAAAGAGAAAACAATCTCGAGGAAAGGTAGTAAGACTTTTTAAAATTTTTTTATTTATCTCTAAATAGACTATATACTTATTGATATGCAAACGAGTCATACCACATATCTACTAGCGTATACACACAGACAGTGCGGGTGTGTGATAGATGAGAAAATCTGCTAACATGAAGGATATCATATATTACGTTTGAGGCATTCAGACCTTTTTTTGTTGGTCGTCAAATTTAACAAATCATTGCAGGATTTGCCCTTTCATTACTTTAGCCCATGCTAACCCATCTTGATAATCCGTTACTACGTCAACACGCGCAGCATATTGATGAGAACGACTTTTCTTTTCCTTTCCTTTTAACCATAATATTTCGACTCTAGCGTTCCACAGACGTGGAGCCAGTCTGTACGCACACTTCATAAACCACATGTTGCATACCAAATAAAGGGAACCCCATTTTCCTGTTCATTTTTTTAAAAATCCACCGCCCAACCCAACTCATAAGTTACACCATCAAATTTTGTTCTTTCTATATTTCCCACAACCATGAAGACAAAAACACACACACTATGCCATCTTCAACTCTACAGCAGGAAGGATGATACCTCTATCTATGACGATACAGCGAGTTTTTTTAGATGTTCCATAAAGATCTGTAGCGATGCGTCATCGGTGTACACCAGTTCCCCCTCCTGTGAACCGTACTTATTTTTTTCTGCAGAAGAGTACGAGTGACTGGGGTTGATGCGGTTGAACAATATACGCGCATCGGGATCGTCTTGGCAGACCACGATAAGCCTTGGGGTAGGGTAACGGCTGTCTACAATCGCCTTGGCATCAGCTAACGCGATATCTAGAAATTCACGGAAATAGGCATACTCCGGCATATTTGCGTAGCCGGCGCGTTCCCAATCCGCAACCGTTGCCCCGTGGTGCACTAACACTTCGAAGAAGGTATCCAGCAGGAGTATATTGTCGCGCTGAATGGCTGTGCTGTCAAGCGGGACCGGCTGTGGGGGCGCATCCATGCGATAGCTATACAACGTCGGTTGAATCTGCACGATAGCATCCGCCGTAGGTGACTTTAAGAGCTGCAACCACAAAATTGAGCTTTCGTCCGGGCTTGAGTTAAATACCTGAAGATAGCCAGACCGTCTTAAGTGATAAATGAAGGCAGGTAAGTACACGAATTCTTGCGGTAAACGCAAAGTGCTTGGCTGATTCTTCGTGTAATTACCAAAACGGCTAACGAGGCGCACCAGGGTTCGGTCTAGCCAGCGTAAGACATCAAAGAGGGGCATGTTATCGGTATTATGAATTGCTTGACGGGCGAGAAGCACAGCGGTCGCCTCCTGATCGAACGCTGCGACAAGGTCTTGTATCGGTGGATTGTTCATCTGCCTGTGTGCAAGTGTCGTCACGCGTGTTCGAATTTCATTACCTTGTTCATAGCGCGTGATGAACTGTGTGTACCGGAATAGTTGCTTAGCCGCATCGGTCTGACTCGGACTTGCGTCGAAGTAAACGGCATAGGTACTATAGGAGTCCAGCATGCATGTTGTCCATTGACACGTGCCCCCCATCCCGATCTCATGGTCTCCCACTGATGCTGATTTCTTTCCTGTTCCTATACATTGTCCAATGACCCCTAATACTTTCCAAGTTGGTGACGTAATAACATCAAAGGTTGCGTTGAGTCGCATCTGCAGTGCGTTGTCTGAGGGTCTCCGCGAGAAGAAGTTCTCAAGAGATACTCGGAACGGCTCCTGTCGCCAGGATTCCGAATTCAACACCACACCACCAGAAGCCTGAATACATTGTTTCATCTCAGCAATACCGATCTGATCCAGACTCGCAACGAAACAGTTGAGGGCGTGGCCTTGCTCAACGATTTGTTGCATGAGCTTACCGTAGAAGGCGCAGGATTCCGTCCAGTACCGCGCAGCTCCTGTCCCATCACGGATGTCTCTGTGACCTCTAATTGTGTGCTCGCGGCTTGTATCCACCACAATGCCGGGGCCAACGGTGCACGCCCCTGACATGAACGTCAATATACAGGAGCCGATCCCGGACGAAGTGAGTTTAAGGAGACTTGCTACGGCAGAAAGAGCTGCTCCTGTGCAGCGCAGGGCCCGGTGCGCCTTTGCCACTGGCCAGAGGTCGCAGGATAGGTTGTCGATAAGTGAAGTAAAGACAGCGGAACACGCTGAGAGTGGTGCAACGTAGCGATCAGTGAACAATAAGGACTTTTCAAGAAAGGCGGGCGATATTTCTTGTGATCCTCGAAACACCATACTGCGTGGGTATTCCGTTGTGCCTCTGATCTCATGCAATTGAACTGCAGCACCGTAAGTGATCAAACACACATTAGCACTTTCCGGTATCTTTTCCAAAGTCAACCGCAGAAAGTCCTTGAGGCCTTCAACCTCTTCCTCTGTGTCCAGGCAGGTGTCAACCACAAACGCGAAGGTTGAGGAGCTCCGCCGCGGTTCCAGACTGACATACTCTACCGTTGTGCTTCCCTGCACTAGTTCAACCCAATTCTGTGGCTCGTCGCCCTGGGCGTACATCGGTGGCAGGTTGTTCTTACTAAGACACATTGGGCAACTCCAAGTGCGTGTACCCAGATCTAACGCACAGTATGGGTTGAAAATTGCGTTACAAACCGAACAGGCCACCGGCTTATAGTGGAGCTCCGGGCAAAGATTGCCCAAGGGAGTGTACATGCAACCAAGCGGCACCACCATCCGGGTTCCATCTAATCGACTAGTAGGGTATAGCGACCACGACCAGCGCGCAGAGGGATCAGGTGGGCGTGTATAGGTTTCTTGGCAATTTGAATCTTGTTGGTATGAGTGCTGCTGCTGAAAATTAGGTTGTTGCTGATATGCGTATAATGATTGAGTATTCGGGGCTTGAGACTGGGCATTGCTGTATTCATAACTGCTGACGGTCCCCGCTGCACTATTACCGTTGTATTGCTGATAAGCATACTGGTTATGTTGCTGTTGACCGAGCATTAGTCTTTTTATGAACTTATTCACGCTCCTCTTATATTTGGTATTCTACGAACAACCTGCTACGTTTTTTTCACTTGTGAATATGTTATCGTATGTATATATATATATATATATATATGAATTTGTGTGCGTGTACTACTCCCTTCCTTGGTGTCATTATTAAGCATCCCAGCAAGTAAGCAAACACGAGTAGGAATGTAGATGTTACACACTACATTTGAATCGTTCTCAAAGACATTACCATGAAGTTTATTCTACATTTTGCACCACTTAATAGTCTTCAGTTTGTTTTCCTGTCATACCCGATTTTTAGTAAAACGAGCCTAGTACGTCTTCCTCGTGCATCAAATTCGACTCTGGCTTTACTTCAGTCTTCATTACTCGACTATTAGCGTCTTCCGCCTTCGCGTCCCCTGTGTCCTGACCCTCCAACTCCCGCCATTGTTGGTCGCACCACTGCGAAAGTGCAGTCCCATCCACTGAGTAGTTTCCAACCGCCTCGCGCAGAGCAATGAGAGCCCGCCGCGCATGACCTCCAGTCGTGGCAACACCTCTGGAACCATCCTCATCCGTATCCTTCGTCACAAGTCGGCTCATCTTCCACTGCTGCTTAGCATCCTCATAGCGACTCATAAGATGAAACACACGTTGCAGCGAAGCTAGCATTGAGGCAGAACCAAGACTGACGCCACTGGATGCCTGGACCTGAGCCTCTGCTTGTTGCTGCTTCTTACGGAGGTTATGGATCCATGCACGTGGAAACATATTCAAAGAGTCCCACCACACCAGAACTTTTCCTAGTGCTGCAATAAAAGATGCATGGGCTTCCACCTGCGACTTCTGGAGGACTGAATCAACATAATTCGGAAGCGTTCTACTAATAGCAGTCAATATGGTGCGCTGCGCCCCTTGCGAGACACCGCGGGCCGCACACGTGAGGAGAACTTCGTGCAATACATAGAGAAGGGAGGCACGCGTAGTATCGGCTGTAGAATCAGCCTTTAATTTATCTCCAATACAACCCATAATGGTGTCAAAGTCATGGGCGTGTAAGGCGCACCACGTGGCTACACTAACAATGGAACCAGAGGAACTACCAACAAGATCAATACGCTGTGCTACTCTCTCGGCATTTACCATCATTGTTGTTAAGGTTGCGTATACGATGAAACTAATCGTACAATATCGATCTATTAACAACACCTTAACGCACACGGGAAATGACTGCACAAATTGAGTATTCCTTTTTGCTTCCTTCTCTTCCCTTTAGCGCATATGTATAATATATAAAAGTGGAATAAGATCTTCGACGATATCAAGGGGGAAAAACATATCACTCATTTTGACATATACATGAGTTTTATTGTTGTTAGGGACTATTGCAATGCAAACACAAATTGTAAACCGTGACGCACTATGCGCCTTTCAAACCTATTCAACTTTTTGAAGAATATTTCGAGAAATAATACAGAAACGATTCATCTTTATGATTACACTCAGTATTCGTTGTCACCTTCGTTCTTTACCATTTTTCTTTTAGTAGTCGATCAATGCTAGCCTAGCTCTGGTCACAAATTGGCGACTATTTTCGGTTGAAAATCCCCACCGGGGATCTTCTTTGCGAAGCCATGCAATCATGTACGCAACCGGCACATCGGAAGGGATGTCAAATTCCATGTCTCTCCGATGTTGTCGTGTTTCCCCGGTCTGGGTCGGCCTTCCTGCCACGATCAGGCCCACATCATTCGCGGAACGCAACGAGCTGCGCACATTCATCATCACATTACCGTTTTCGGGAGACTTCTGTACCGTGTAAAATTTTCTTGAGTGCGACTCCAGCACCAGCCACTCGTGTTTTTGATGTATCAGCTTAGCTATCCGATTTGAGTGACAGGGTGCGAAGAAAGTGTACACATGCTTCAAAACGTCATCCGCGTTAAGGACAACGTCTCGGTGAATCACAATTTTTCCTTCTTTAGCGAAGCAGTCCGACGTGAAATCCACAGCGAGTCCCAGTCCAGCACCAGTAGCGATAATGTTGAGGTGATTGGCCAAGGTAAGGTGGGCTGGAGTAGCCGCCAAGGAAAGGGCAGAGCCGATAAGCGTACCTCCGCCAAGTCCCTGACCCATGCACACAAATGATGGTTGATCTGGCCACCCTTTTTTTGGATGCTTAACAGCAGCGGGAAAAAAAGAATAATGAAGAGAGGTGGACGGGAATGAAGCAATGATAAAGGAATATAGTATGGATGAGTGCAAGAGAGAGTTCACACTTGGTGCATTGTTTAAGTCAGACGTATATGTATAAATTATGATTAGTACCAATACACATCCAACTGCTTACAAATTATGTGTGGCATAAGTATTGGGAAAATAAGCAAGTGAATAAAAAATATTTAAAAATGAATTCCTTGATTCAAAACGATCGAAGGAGAATCCTTTTCGACCTCTTCACGCGTGCATGTGTGAAAAGTTGGAATACGGGAAAAATCGTGGAATACGAGACTCTATTGCAGCACAGTCGCAAGCAGAACTCGTTTCTCAAGATAGATGTTTCTCAAAAGAAGCAATGTAATGAAATATACATGCATATACAAAGCGAGATTTAACTAAGTGAAAGCTATCTTTTGTTAATCGCGACGATGAGCATAGTGAATAAAACGAACAATGATTGGAATCGAAGGGGACAAACATAATCCATGTCCGTGTCTATGCACTCTCCGACATTCCACTCGATATCTATAGGCATTGCAACTGTTCTTTATGGTGGTAGTTCCTCCGGATACGTTCGTACACGTTTTCCTTGTACTCATCCACACTGCACCGCTTTTCGTCCGGTAAAGGAAGTGTGATTGCAGGTAACTTTGTCAGTAAGGAGATGTCATCGGGGGTCACGAACTCGGCGAGATATGGATGCTGAAGTGTCTCTAGTGCGGTAAGCCTCTTTTTGGGGTTAAAGACTATGAGCTTCGACACGAGGTCTACGACATTAGCGTCCAGCGATGACAAAAGTTCTCTTAACGGTGCACTATGAATCTCCTCGGGCAGGCTGTCCATCATCGCCCACGAATCTGGTGACCCCAGACTGTCCACGTCCGCGCTCGAAGGCTCGCCAAGGGAGCTAATGATGAGAATGAGCTGGTCTCGTGTGGAGCGCCCGCAAAAGACCGGCTCACCGAGGAACAATTCCGCAATCACACACCCAACTGCCCACATATCCATGGCAGTTGTGTAAATCGGTGACTTGACTAAAACCTCAGGGGATCGGTACCAACGCGTTGCAATGTATTCAGTGAGATGCAAAAGCTCACCATTGGTGTCGTTCTCATCTAAAAAGCTGCGCGCCAGACCAAAGTCACCTAGTTTGATGGAGCAGTCCGCGTTGATGAAGACGTTGGCGGGCTTCAGGTCACGGTGGATGATCTGCATGGCATGGAGCTGAGCCACCACCAGAACGATTTGATAGATAATATATTTACGGTGAATATCCTGGAGGATACGTTTCTGCAGCACCACACAGAGGTCGGTTTCTGCCAATTCAAACACTAGATAAAGGTCCGAGTTGTTATTTGCTTGAATTACATTCAACAAATGAACCACGCGTTCGTTTGTTTTTAGCGTCTCCAGAAGCATAATTTCACGATACGTCCGCTGCGCGTCCTCATGATTTCGAAAAGCATCAAAGACCTTCTTCAAGGCCACCTGACGCCCGGTTAAACGGTCCAACGCGCACCAAACCACACCGTAGGCACCACTCCCAATATGTCGTTGAATCATGTACCGTTGTTCTACCTCACCATCAATAGAAAAGGAGGCCATACACAAACTAAGTAGAGCGAAGATCTACGAATGACTTTTATAATTGTTTCCTTCTTCTTATTCTCTTGTTTCCTCTAAAGAAGACGCATAGGGGGAAGAAATACACACTATACATTTAAGTGAAGTCTACTAGACCTTTTTCCGATTTAAATTTTAAATATTTTATATTATCTTACCACTTTTGATACATAAGCAATGAAAAGAAAGGTAGAAATCAAATTTATGATTATTAATAACTCCTATCTATTCCTTAACATCCTTTTTAGAAGGCTATATGAACTAACTATTACGCATTGCGACTTTTTAATAGTGATTCAGTAGCTTGCGGTGTGCATGTGAGGAGGAGGGAGAGAGGGAGTGAGTTCCAGAGGATACGGATTTCACAAGCACTCCCTCTACGCGGGGAGTTTATTTTTGCAACTTTCTTTGAGACTTACCAAAAAACAGGGGAAAACATATTTCCCCAAAGAACGCATGTGCCTCACACTTGGACTGTTGTGCAGTAATAAAGCTAAGAGTATCAAGAAGATACTATAAGCTAGTACATTATAGTCACATTACCACATACACATCGCCAACATGAGCAGGGGAAAAATCAGGCATAATTTTTAAAGAAATAATGCTACGGGTGAAATGTTTAAACCCAATTGCCTAATTTTGTGGAGTTAATTTCGATAGTGCAAGTGAGAAGCTTGCCTACTACTCTTCAACATTAATGAATCCACACGCATACATTCTGAGTTTCCGGTGATAAGCATGATCAGATCGACTCGGTAACAAGGTGGTCTGAAAAAAAGAGATAAAATAGCCTATCGCTTCCTATTAAATTTAGAGTTGCAAACGGGTACCCTACCATAAAAAAAGATAGTTACAAATAAGTAAAAAATGGGGCTGCGACAACTCTTGACATCCGTTAGGACCCTATCTATGTGAAAGCGTCCCACTCCGCAAACTGCACCTATGTGGAGGGCAGCCGCACGCAAAACTCGATGGACCCCCAAAGGCATCCTTCGCTGTCTATGCAGTGACAGTTTCTATTGAAGGTTCATGCATCCGACGCTATGAACTCGTGACTACTGGATAGCACTGCAGATCCGCAGCACCCAACACGAGCCCCTCAGGGCACGCCTCCCTTGGGCATACCGTGCGGTACTGTTGGCAAAACCGCGTAAGTGGAAGGCTATCCTCGACGGAGGCGGGGCATTCTAACCTTTCGTACTGATCTTTCTGAATGACACAAAAGCCACCTTGGGTGTCTGGCTTCGTGGAGTTGATGTATCGAACAAAGTCTTGAAGCGGGCAGATGTTGTTGATGGGAATATATGCTTTGTTGCCTTGCGTCATACAATACCATTTGATGTCTGTTTGAACGAATGAAAATTCTCTGTCTTCTTCGGCTTCATTTTCTTGTGGGAAACCGCGTAGAACACGGACATGGTAAGTTTTGTCGGCCACATTCTGTAGTAGTTCAATAAGGTAGGTTTGTGCAAAGGGAACATCTATGGTTCCTTCAGAATAATCACCAAGCGTGATACCAAGTGGAGTCAGCATGCTATCGTGCGTACTGTACTCGTACATGCGATACGATGGGGACGATAAATATGAGTACATATTTTCCACAATCTCATCCACGAGTTTATGCGCCACAGTCCCCTGTATGCGGTCGAGTTCATTGTCAGGATCGTAGCCAAATAAATAGGAAAAGCGCCTTGTGTTCACAGCTCTAGCACCCTCTAGAGCCATTTTCAGCTTTGGCATATCGTCGAGCTTGTTGGTTGCTTTATAGCAGGAGGCAATATCATAGAGTCTCACAACGCACTCGTACCGAAGGTCATAGTCCTGACAGCTTTCGGTTGTCAAAGCCTCGGCGGCCACCTCCTCCAGCTGTTTCCAGGTAAAATATGAATCCACGATAGGGTTCAGTAGAGCTTTTTGCGCTTTCGCATCTAATAATCTCGAAATGACAGATGGGTAAACATCCGGATTGAGGAGAGTATCACGGTTCAGTTCAACAGTGTATGGCACCGGTAAAGAAAAATCTGGGAATACGCCGCTCAGAAAGGCAGAACTGCTTTGAATAGTACGTTGCTTAGCAGTGGAACGGCTGTAAACAAGAGAGGCATTATACCGCCTCCCAGGGAAGAAAGGCTTCTTGACGATACTGGGGTCGTTGTAGCGATGACGTACATATGCTCCAACTGCCCTAAGCATGGACATACCAACGTTGTTGAGGTACCCACACGGATACTCATAACCGCAAATGAGCTCTTTGTTAAAATTAGGCAACGGCGAACGTGCCCCATGCCTGTGGATCACTTGAGTGAGCTCTACCACATATCCGGAATCCACTGAGTAGACGGTGGCCTTAGCTAAATGAACCAATATGAAAATAGCGAGCAAAAAAAATTTTAACATCAAATTCTCCTAATAAACGAAGGGGTTCTACCGAACACCCTCTAGAGTTTAACGAAATATCCTTTTGTGTGTTAGAAAAGCTTGAATAACAAACTCAAAGTAGGCGAGTATTACGTGGGAGAGAGTGTAGTCAATCTTTCCAATCTAAAAGAGCGAGAGAGACTCGTCTAGAGAAACACACACCCATTAGTGTTTATGATTTGCAGTGTGTCCTCAACTAATAACGGAAAAGCAATATACTATTTTTCGTATTTCTTATGCCATCCGTTTGCTTGTTGAACTGTTGCTTTATTTTATCGTGAAGTGCTTCAGTGAGGTTCTTGATAAATGGGCGTAGCACGCATAGGCAGAACGAGTGATCATCGATCAATTTTTCTGGAGAGAAAAAGCTGAACACAAAAGGCGCACCAACAGCAAAATATTTAAGGTGAATTATTTCGTACCAAGAAGGGCCTGTAGTCTTTTTTCACGCACATCAACAAACTCTTTGGAGTTTGGAACCGCTGCCTGGGCAGATTTGGGTTGGTTGCCACTGTTGGAAGAGCTCAGCACGCGCCCGGTACCTGAGAAGGGCATAAAAGTAGGTTTACTCTCACTGCAACCGCCATCTTTTTCGTTCGAGCCTTTTGTAGTGAGGTTTGCACCCTGTCCGGAAGATGATTCTGTCTTCTGGGTCTGCGATGTTGAGTTTAGCGACGGAGACTTGTAGTCAAACGGTTTGAACTGCACTGTGCCCCAGCCTTGGCTGGCCCCGATTACGTTGTTGCCTGTTGGAAATGTTGGCGAAGATGAGTCTTCCGTCGGCGAGTCGGGCATGTCTAATGGCCGCTCAAACTCAACCTTCAATTCCGTGGCTCCTGCATCTGCCCGTGCGGCTAGTACCGCCTCGACTGACTTCCCTTCTGGATTGAGCAAGTCTACAACGTTTATAAGAAAATCTTGCTTGGCATAGTGAATGACAATTGTAGAGCCTTTTGTTAGAATGGGATACTTGTTAATACGCATCTCCAAGACGCGTCGCGGGTCCTGCAGCATCACAAAGGCTTTTTTGTGAGGTTGCAACTTGACAAGATTTCCCTCCTCCAAGTTGCAGGTTTCCACACGTACCATGGCTCCAGGCCTCAGCTTGAGCTGTTGAAACATCCAGTCTGGTAGGACGATACTTCCCATCTCTGCGTTAAACTCCAGGACGGCTGCGTACAGGGGCTTTTGTCGATGAGCGGTGATCATGAACTGTAGGGGATAGACCATGGAAAGACTCGAAATCTTTTGCAGGGCTGCTGGGGGTAGCAGCACGCGCCCTCCATCATTAAGACGATCTTCATTAACAGAGCTGGCAGACAAAGCCACAAACCGGGCCTGGTACTTGTCAACCTTTACTCGAATTCGATTTAAATCGGACATCACACTCCTAGGTATTTTTTCCCCCTCCTGATATTGAAGCAAATATTGAAGTATGAAATAAATGGGTTCGATTTTATGCAGCTATCTATATCCTGAAGAAGATATAGTATTGTATCCAGACTGTGTTAAGCAGAAGACAAATAATCACCATTGTGATAGTGCAACAGCTGTAGAACATCTCAATTGCACAAAAAAATAATAATCATAAGAATTTCGTTAGATAAAGCATTCTCATTTTAGAGAATGAGGACGGTGAGGGAGCTCGTTGCCTTATGCTATATTGCTACTAAGTTTGCTGGGAGTCATAAAAGATGGACATATTTTCAACAGCGGCACCTAGTGAATGACCCACTCGTATCACTTATTGATATACATGAGTCTAGCGCCTAGAATACCCTAAGTTATCCTTCGATACGAGTCGAAAGCAATACGCTTATTATACGTGGTTGCAGATGGCGTCGATTTTGGTGCCTGACATCCGCTCAGTGTGACATTACTTTTGTTGATACGAAGAGTAATCCATAATGGTTATTAGCTCTCCTGAACAGAAAGTCCACCGATATTCACCGCGATTATAGCCCGAAGCAGTTTACCCCTGGCGTGCTGAAAGTGATGTTGTTATCCATCTCTGTGATGACATAAATGTTAAGCTGATGTGTGGCTTCTACAATTGCTTTAGATGGCCCAAATTGAGATATTTCAAACAGGAAGTGAGAGCCTATACACCCTCATACTGTCCCAGCACTGCATGAGAAGCAATACTCAATTTGCCCACTCTTTGCATTTCAAACCTCTTCAAGGCCACTAACTGACCTAAACGCCCCGGCCTCGCCTAGATGATGTATGTTCGAAGAACCACATCTCCACACAGTTCGATACTTCACTAATGCTTTATACAGAACCTAAAACACTTTTACAACAGTCATGAAGTGGAAACGCTGCTTCAATGACTTGCCTAGATCCAGGAAGTACTGTGGCGTAGGGGTATGCCTTTGACAGCACCAGGCTCAACCGGAGCGGCGTCTCTCAACAACTCCGAGGAGACAACGAAGTTCACCAAACACAATCAGAGGCGCAGCACTAAGGCAGCTGCGAGCAGATTTTGTATCATGAACTATGCTCCACGGAGTTTATTGCAGGACCTTTTCTCACCACTCCTACACGTCACTTTAACAGACAGTTCATAATGCTTATCGCAAAACCCTACGCTTCTTGAGTTCGGCAGGCTCCATGTGGTTGTTAGTGGTTTACAATATGCAGCCCAAGTCTGTTCTGCACCCCTCGCAATCATTACCATACCAGTGGCGAGGTACTGTACCATTGCTTTTGTTATATAATTCCGAGTGCCGTCTATGGTGCTGTTCAAGAAGGATTTAGCTAAAGAGTCCGAATTTCAAACTCGTAGCACCGCTTCCAGAACCTGATTAATTTACAATGATCTTCTTTTGGGTTGACATCTACTTCCCAAAATAAAACATGTACTATGGTAAGACCCACTGTATCATGTGTCTTGACATTTATGCCCTAAAAATGGTGACCTTATTGTGAAACACGTAATCAACGAAAGAAGGAAAAAGTAATCTGATACCTTTACAGATCCTTCGAAAAAGTTCCGGCTCCCCCTCCTACCACACATTTATTTATTTATTTAGTCGGCTCTTTACAATCCAAAAAATCGAATTGTAAAATGAGCGATCTTACCGTATCTCATTAATTAATGAAAGTTTAACCGTTTTAGAACAATACACAAATCAAGCCAACCAACCGAATAGATATATCAGTAAAATAGGTAACTAATATAGTGAATATTTTCATCTCTACGACTACTTTTTCTTTTTGCGTGAGGGAGCTTCCAAAAAATAGTCCACAACCGAATCCAAGGGTTTGGCATCCTCTCCACCGGCCGTTGCATCCTTGTCGTCTTCATGGGCACGCTTTCCACGTCGCGCCTTCGCGACCGTCGCCGCGAGCTCTGCAACATCCTTCGAGACGCGTTTGTCCTTTTGCGCTATCTCCAGGTGGTAGCGAGGGTCCGAGAGGAGCTTTGACTGAAAGCGGGAGTCAATGGCGCCCTTTGCTTGCTCCGCTTCCTGTGTATCGAGTCGGACTCTGGCCTCCCGTGTGATTCCCATCTGGCTCACGATACGACTCTGCTTCTTTGCAGCCCGTTCCTTAGCCAGGGTTTCCTTGACTTCTTTCACATGCCGCTTGCGGCGCTCTTTACCACTGAGACGGATTGCCCCGTTGTCGTTCGACCCGATCAACGCCTTGAGTTTTTCCGTTCGTTCTTTCTTCTCCGCTAATGACGCCTCTACCTCCATCTCGCGTTCGTGAAGCAGCTCCTCCTTCTTGGTCTTTTTCATCGCCTTACGTCTAAGCTTATATTTGAGCTCCGCCTGTGCGCCAAGGCTGCTCTCCTTTTTCATTTTCCTTAACCTGGCCTCTCGCTGGAGACCGACAGCCTTGTTATCGGCGTCGAGGTCAAGCGTTGCTTCCATGTCACCCATAACTTCACTTTCTGCGTCATTTGATCCGCTCTCGGCCTCATCTTCCGAATCCACATCACTGAACCGGTTGAGGGAATCATCGTCCGTAGTATCCCCATCGACGCTGCTATCACTGCTGAAGCCATTGGCACCCTGTTCTTCACGGGTTTCATCGGTGCCATCTCCTACCTGGTTATCATCCTCGTCAAGTTGACCTGGCACTTTACCGATTTCCGCCAACAGTGCCGCGTACTTGTGCTGAAGTCTTAGCTTTTCCTCCGCCTTGGTGCGACCCGTGCGAGCGTCCTTCTCGTCATCGTCGGAGTCAGGCGGGGCGAGGTAAGCCGCCAGGTCGTCCTCGGCGGTGGTTCCGGTGAAGGCATCCTGTACTGACCGGTGTCGGAAGAGGTCGTCCTGATCCCAAGAGATCCGAAAGCGCGCCTGGCTAAGCGCAGCCGCCTTGAAGGAGGATAATGGCTTGAAATTCGGTGGGATACCGTTGGCACGGCTGACCGGGTCCTTGAAGGTCTCATCCTCGTCAACGTAGCGCAGATCCAGCACGACGCCACTAGATTCGATGTCGGTGCCATCCAGCTCGCGATAGACAGCAGCTGCAGTTTCGGGGGAGTCGAACGTGGCTATGGCGTAGTAGTATTTCATGCGGTTCATTTCATACTGACGATACTTCCCGCCCGAGAAGTACTCCCCATCTTCACCACGTTCCGTGAACATACTAGGGTTGTCATCAACCCAGCCGTTATCATCGTCACTACCCTCACTATCTGTCTGCTCTCCCTCTTCCATGTTGTCATCGTACTCATGCGCTGACTCGATACCATCATGGGGTAAGTCTTGGTTTACGTCTACGTCTTCTTCGCCCTCCTTTACCCACAAATCTGGCCCGTGCACCCGCTCATGTTCAAGCATTTTTTTACCAAAATCGCTCATGTAGACACACACATCCTTCAACTGCCCACCTAAAGGAAGGGCATGAAAGAGAATGGCATAGAGATCCACTGCGCGGACGTGATCCCAGTCGCAGTTCACCACAGCAATGCGGTGAGTTGCTTCCGTGAGCTCCACGTCTTCAGGAGCCCACTCGCACACGTCATCAACTTCGTCATCATTTTCATCTGAAGAATTCTCTTCGAAATCATCTACATCGGCAACGAGGTTCTTTTTGGTTGGAGTATCCTCTTCGTCAGTGTCAGTCAAATTATCTTCTTCATATTTGCTCTGTGTTTCTTCGGATGGATTAAAGTTCTTGGCAAATCTCGGATCACGACTAGCGGCTTTCTCGAGCTTATCCCTCGGACTATATCGCTGTTTATGCTTTTTATGAAGCTTGCTTGAAAGCTTAAATCGAGGGTCAGTAAAACGGGAGGCAAAACGTTCGTCCCTGTGGGCCGATTTACCAGCCTGGGCACCACCGCGTCCTCTGCCACTGCGATATTTCGAGCTTCCTTGAGAGGAGCCCACAATGCCTTTCATTGGTGTATCAGAGCTGATTGTCTCAATTGCACTTGTAGTGGCTCTTTTTTTTTTTGAAGTCCCTATTTGAAGATGAAGACAAGTGGATTAGCAAAAATACGATCACGAATAGAATGAATAAAAATATTGTGTCCGAGGACGTACACCACGATAAGAGGCAGAAAAAAACTTAAGGTTGTACTTAAAATGCATCAGCAGCAACTGATGCTGTAGGCGGGCAAAAATGGCATGACATAAGTTCTGTTAAAAATACAATCTACCTTCTTTCCCTTCCCCCTCATACACGCACAAGACAATACCGTTTACATAGGATCAAGCAAAATTATACACCTATGCGCTTATCAACATACAAAGCCAATATATTCTTTTCTCGGCACTTCTTTGCTTTCATAGCACCTTTCAATGCACTAAGAAACCTTTTTCTTCCTCATATTAAAAATCCCTACTATATTAATTACCATGGTCAATATTGTCAAAAGCAGTGGCAATGTCAACAAATGGTATTCGGGCCACATACCAATCATCCATAGCAGGCCTGATAAAATGGAGCAAATGGTTGCACTATATATGAATTTTTTATTTGTTTTATTCCATTGAGGGTTCTTCTGCCTCAGGTAGAAGTTGGTATAAAACCACATGCTGCAAAACACAGTGTAGCCTAAAAAGGAGATATACAGGAAAAACTTGTTAGTTTTTTGAGAGGTGCGCATAGTAGAGATTACACCAGATAGATAAACAATGATGAGGCACACAAGAGCTACTAGAAGATTTCGGATCATTCTAGAGGAGGTGTTCCTTGAGGAGGCTGTGATATTGGAATGCATCCTGCTTCGCGTGTAAACGAGTAACCAAATCAATGTCAGTTCAATCCTTGAAAATTGTAATGACGTAAAATATTTGGTATTATTTATCCTTCCTATGTATAAGAAAGATGAATGAACATATTAACAAAGGATATATATATATATATATATGGGGGAATCAAGCAAGTCATTTTAACAGGTAATGCCTAAATGCAAAGAAAAAAAAGAGGTTAGCAATAATATGAACACTTTGGTAGTACTTCTTTACCCATAATATATATATATGAATATAGCGAACAAAACCAAGCGATACGCAAATATCCGAAAAAATACATAGTGACGTTTATGAATAGACGTCAAATAGGAGAAATATTTACACACATGTGCAGAAAAATATTCTCTCTGTGTTAGTTCACATTTCCTGATGCCTCTAAAACGAAGCGCCGGTAAGAGGTGTGGTGTCAACGTCCATAGATTTTAACCGTTGAAGCGCTGCCAGCTCGATTTCGGTCAACTCCTCCGGTTTCAGCACAGGTCTATTTTTGCTTATGGAAAAAGAAAAGCGTTTGCCATTCCCACCGTCGTCATGACCTTCAGTGGCTTGATTTTTCATGCCAGGTGACTCAATTCCTTCTGCTAAAGAAGCACGCGGTCCTCTAAAATTGTCTGGCATCATACCTAAAGTTTGGGCTTGGCTCCTCAAGTCATCATTCCGATCACGATTCCGTCGAACGGAGGTGGACAGGTTGGAGCCCTTTCCCTTGGGCTTGACCACGCCCTGAACCGAACCTTCCTCGCTCTGTGTTTGAAGGATATTCTCCAGTCTAGACATCGTCTCGGCTTCCGGTTCCCAATTCTCCTCAGCCTTCGCGGCATAAGACTGCAAGTCGCGCACGTGTGCAATCGGATGCAATGGCATGGCCTGTCTCATCATGGCCAGACGAAGTGCCTTACTGGCATCACGCGAATTAGCCTCGTCATTAGACTCCTTCGTCTCGCGGTAAATAAGCATCGCTGGAGACGCGAAGTCGTCCACACCCTTTGTATCACCCTGCAAGTCTAGGTCACCCCGATAACTACTAGTGTTATGAAGAATGCTTGGGTCGTAGAAGTGGTTCGCCCATTCTAAAATCATCGCGTCATAGTGTGAGGAAAGAACGACAGAGAGAAGGTTTGAGGCAACCGCGGCGACCTCCTCATTGCGACGATTGAATGGAAAAGGAAATCGTGGGGATCCGATGAGGTGTATGACTCCTATAACTGATCTGTCTTTAGACCAGTATCGCGTGTAAACCGGTGTAAGAAGCTGTGCTGCATTCGTTCTCTCAATAAGTTCTGCCAGTGGAATGTTGCCATTTGGTCTCTGGTCACGGACACCACTTATCGGCTTAATGTTTATGGCGATACCTGTGTCCGCGACCACGCACGGGATAGAGTTCTCCGTCAAACGATACGGCGCAGAATGAGCAAGTTTGGAGAGATCACGCCCCACGACAAAGGGAGCCACAAGTTCGTTTGTGATTGCTCCGCGTGGCCGAATCCACAGGAACGCTGCGTCAACACGCGTGTGCACTGCCAAACTTTCTAAAATGCTATACACACTCGCCGAGACGAGTTCAAAAGCGGTACACATTTTCCTCCTATTATATTCGGGTATACTACTGGAGGCCATCATGCTAGTAAGCGCGGCAGCGTTTGCGTTGCTCCGAGAGTTACTGTTAAATTGTCCACGTGCAGCCAATGCTGGCGGTAGTTCTTTCGAAGAATCCGTTGCTTTTTTGGCATGCCTGGTAAGATTTTTTTTCCCTTCTGTGACTGCTGCAGGCTGGTCGCTGCCATTCTTTTCATCATACGGGTACCCCATTTTGGCCTTTTTTAACTTTTCTGTGAGCATGCCCACCTCTTCGTGCACAGCCGCACACAAATCCTCCAATGTAATGAGCGCCTCGTGAACAGAATGCTGCAGATTTGCCTTGCCGTCAAGCAGTGAAGAGAGCACATCTCGCATTTCCCCAAAGCGCTTTCCAACATGATCGGTAAAGGAGGCCTGCTCCAGTAAGTCTGATGGGAAGCTGTGCCTGCAGCTCCTGCAAATCCAAAAGGTCATTTTGAGTGCTTTTAATGACCTTTTAAGCGTGATTTTTAAAAGAAGTCACAATGGTGATGAGAAGCTGTGCAATATCACTAACTGTTAGTAAATCCAAAATAGAAAACATGCACCAATTATTTCAACAGTCGTAACAACAGAAAGTGTACTGTAGAAAGGTAAAATGAATTCTTATTATCATTATTATTACTATTATTTAGACGATTCTGGAGAAGGTAAACTCAAGAGCTTAAGAAAGTATCTTATTCAACTTTTTTACAATGCTATACGCAGAGTACAGTGCATTGGCAAATTAAAAAAAAACTAGACGCAATAAAGCTAAGCACCTAAAATGTCATTAGGGTATCGGAACAAAAACAAAAAGAGCATACTTCCCTTTCTACTTCTCCCATGCCTTTAGATGTGGGACATAATACCAAGGGTTGGGGGAAAGAAAGAAATGGAAGAGAAAGAACGACTTCAAACCTCCCCGAGGACAACTTTTTAGCCTGACTAGAACGAAAATGCATCATCAAACTCGTCTTTGGGACTCTGAGGAAAGTCAAACTCCTCAGATCCTCCGCGAACCGCTGCCTTAGCCAGTGTCATCGCCTCGTCCCCCTGCGGATGCCTCAGCGCCATCTCCAGCAGCGTCGCCTCCCCATCACACCTATCGTCAACTTCTCTTGGTCGTTTCGACGGCCTATGCGGGGCGTCATCGGAGGCAGAGGAGGATGGTCGAACATGGTTCCCCTCCGCATTGTCGTTGGCCTTTCCCGGGGCAACTGATGGACGTGCCGTGGCGCCCTCCCCGCCAGCTCCCCTAGGCGCTTCCCTCAAGAGAAAATCATCCACATCACTCCCCACAGCCCCACCACCTGAGGTATGATCCTGTGAAGGTGATTCGACCTGTGCGATCTGCTGAAGGAGTTGTTCCTCTTCCAAAGCGAGAACTTTCTTTGGTGGCTGCTCACGAGCCCGCTTTTCTTTCAAGAACATTTCAAAGGTGTCCAAGTCAATATCCTTCTTCTTTTGAAGGGCGGCTCGAACTTTATTAGGGTGCTTTCGCATTTCACGTCTATATAGCAGCTTTACATCCGCCCTCGATCTCCCTGGAAAAAGCACCGAGATCGCCGCAAAGTCCGTTCCATACTGCGAAAGTGCATGGTAAAAATTACGTAACTCTCCTTCCGTCCACTCCGCACGAGACCGGCGATTGCGACCGGTGCGCTGCCAAAGCTCTTGCACACCTCCGTCTCTTCCCGCGACGGCCACGTCGGATGGCGACTCGAGCGTGAAGGGATCAGCAAGCGGGCTTCTATAAGGCTGTGAACTCGAGTTATCTGCGCCGATGGCCGCATTAATGTTTCGATAGCCTCCGAGGTTGGATTTGGCCTCGAAACACATAGCACTGCGCATTATCTGACGGATCGAGTAGTTACCACCTGTTGGAGCAGTGGTGGGAGGAAGCTGATCTACTGGAGTTTGTGCCAACACACTGATTGGGATTGATTGAAGAGAAGGAAATGGTGCGAAGTTATGCTGCACAGGATCAGGTGGAAATTCAAAATCATTGTGCTCCATTGTATCTAGAGAAGTTGAGGGTTATAAGCAATTCTCTTCAATTAATGATGAAAATTAAAGGATTCGGGGGAAGAAAGCTTGCGGAGAATTCCTTCCTCTAGCTAGAATACTAAAAAAATGTAGAGTGCCATTGATTTAAAATTAACTCATCTTCAGAGTCGAGCGGCATGTAAATGCTAATGGGTGTCATCACATTTTCATTCTTAAATAAGTCAAATATGGTTTAATTATGCCAAGTTTTGGCCCAACTCATCCTTTTTTTCTGTTTACTTTGGATCCAGCTGATACTACACATTTCTAAACGATCTATGTCCTGAAGTCCCTTACCGTTGTCGGGGAACTATATCATCCTCTTTTATCTTCACCAATGTCTATCTATTGCTGAGTGGATAACTCAGAGCTGGAAAAAGTAGAATCGTCATGAAATCATGAAGCCTCCCTTTCATCTGAGTTAGTATACTCAGTTCACCTCCCTCCACAAATGAATAAATAAGGAAACTTACTATTCAACTCATGGCGCAACAAACACGCCACCACCAACGCCTTCGGAGCGTAGAAAGTTGAAGAGATGACAATCATAGCAGTACACTAAAAATATTTTTATAGGAAACAAGCTTAACAGTTCATGCATATACCCTTGAGGTAGATAGTGTCTAAACGGGACGTATTCGTTTCCATAGGAAAAAAACATTGCCATTGGGAGTACCAATACAGGTGCTCCCCAAAGCCATAGCATAGTTTGTCTAGCTGGCCCATGCCAACACTTTTTGTAACTCAAGTGAAAATCCGTGAAACTTTCAAAGAGGGGGGATAGGTTGCTGAAGCACTGATCGCTCAGCGGGTCGCGGAGATGAGCACAAACAGCGTCGGCGATGGTTTACAGCCTAATCTATATTGTTTGCTGATGACAACACTCGATCAGGAATCTTGAATCACTTGGGTGCACATGGGCAATTCTAAAATAGAAAAGGTTTCCTGTAGAAGCGAAAATATTCACTAAGGCATCGTTGACATAGGGGGGAGGGACGGAGGAATGCATGGGTCAGGCGACTTCGATGCTCAGCCTTCCGTGCTTCTATTTTTTCCTATTATTGCACTCTGCCTCTCCCAAGTAGCTCAAAATCGTGATCCAGTTTCGATGGTGCGCAGCAGCAACGCACAACCATCCATTTCCTGCAGAAAGTGTAACCAGCCCTGTGCATAGGTCTTCCATTTCATTTGGCACCACCGGCTCCTTCAATTTGTCGTCAGGAGCTTTTTGCGGTTGTGCCCGCTGGGCGGGGTTCCTGAATGGTGCGTCATTCTCGTCGTCGGCGGAGTTCTCAACCTTCACAATATCGCTAGCGTCAACTCCACAAGGCCGGTGCGGTTTCGAATTTTTCTGCGCATACGATGGCAACACGAGGTGAAATGTCGAGATCACGATGTACTTCGTGATGACTCGATTCAGCAGGAGGAGCTCGTTGCCGGCCGTCACGGCCGGCATCCAGTGCTTGCTGGAAAGCCCGTATATGGGCTTCCCCTTGAGCTCGTACTTTCTGGCAGACTCGAAGACCGTGGCGCCTTCGGCCAGACGGATAATTTTACCCAATGCGGTGTTCTTGCCGTGTATCGCGCATATCAGTGGCGGCACCCGCTCTGAGATGCTACACTGATGTTGCTGACTAAACTCCGCCCGCAGCGCGAGCACGCGATCGAGCTCGCGAGTTCTCAGCACTTTGTGCACGCCACGCCCATGTTCCTCATCTGAGATTTGGCCACCGCATACTTCTTCACAACTAATGCTGCCGGAGTGGCTTCTGGCAGAGCCCTTCCCAGATGCTGGACGCTCCTCAGGGTACACCACCAAGCGGCTTAGTCCTTGAGTTACCGTAGAAAAAAGCGTCCCCACATGCGGGTCGATCTGACTTCCAACACAAATCACGTTCTCGGTGACTCGTCCGACCGAAAAGTTCTCGATGATGGCATCCTTCAAATTGAGCTGCTTTGCTAGAAGTGGCTGGGGGTCGAAGGCAGAGCAGCAAAAAAGGGCACCTTCCGCGAGTGAGGCGATATGCTCCGCCCGATTCTTCCACTTAAACAGTGGTCTCGCATGCCCACCGGCTATGTTGGGATTACCGGAGCGGGGATATGGCAGCGGGAACACGGCCGCAAGCCTAGTGATAGGAAAAATAGAGCTCCCGGAGCCGCAGATACTGATGTGCCGCACGGCGTACTCGACCGCGCCAGTGGACAAATTGAGATAATAGATTAGGGCGCCGTGTTCGTAGGTGCCAATCGCTACAAATGGCCGCGCGTAGATCTCGGCCAGATCAAGCGGCACGACGCCACGTGGAAGCTGAAAGGCGTGCGAAGGCTGCCGCGCAACGGGCTTGGTTTGCCCAACGACGTAGCCGCCCCCTGCCTCGGGAGGGAGCCGATGCGGGACATCCAATGTTACCAAGCGCTCTTCGCAGGGAAGGGAGACGAGGATACGATTTGGCACGTTTGTCAGCCACATTAACTTGTAGGGAATGGAGTGAAAAAAGAAGGACTGAACCGGGAGCTTCGCAGGAGAGTGGTGCAAAGGAGCCCAGTGGGACTTGGTCGTGTCTGCGTGGTTTTTGGTGATGGGACCGCCCAGACACCTCGTCGAGGGCGGTGGCTGCGCCTCTTTTTGCTGCTTCACTAGCCATTCGATAGACGCCAATTCACCCACCACAACCTCTGCGCAGAAGGGAACAACCGCGTCAGGGGAATCCCTCGGGGGCTTCAACACCACCCTCCAGTAAGTAGTGCTCGAGGTATCAGCGTGGTGTTCGGGGGTAGCTAATGCCTTGAGTGGGATGTAAAATCGATAACCCGCTGAAAGAATCAGCGCCACTCGTTGAAGATGGGATGTTTGGGAGGCTGCACCATGCACTCCATACACATTGCGCGTGGTGGGGTGCGGGTCCCCCGACATGCTTAGAATAGTGGTTTCCCCCTGGAACTGGTGCGTTGGCGTCTCCTCGGTGGCAATTCCGACGTCGGTAGAGAGCGGAGATGCTGACATAGGGTCTGCACATGTGGGGCTACCACTAGGGGATGCTATGTCCCTGCTTTTTACATTTTCCTTCTCTAAGACGGTGCTAACGGGTTTGTAGTTTGGGGATGTGGAGGCATCCATTTTTTCAGGGGAAGCTGGAGACACCGTACATGACGCAGCAGGCCACGACCACTCTAATTTGAACTGGTGAGTGAGCCTAGGAGCGGCAAAAGCCCGCTTAATCTTTAAGCTGTAGGCGTAACTTATACAACTCGGTAGCGAAGCTAATGGTGGATCATCCATGAGATCCGCAAGTCCTTCTGTGAGATGTCAAATAATAATACTAAGAGCTAATGTGCAAAAATATCCCCAAATTTGAGCTTTCAGGTCTTGAAATTATTTTTACTTCCCCCTACTATGGGGCATTCTTCATATGTGGAAATGCGCTATTGGAGCCAACCCGAAACTTTATCGTACGGGTGGTAAAAACACAGAAGGCAAATCATACTGGTATTTAACAATCTTTCGATACCTATAAAAGTGAATTTGCATTTGTCGTGTAGACACCAACCTGCAGGCAGATTTCTAGCACAGAGTCACACAATATTAGAGACCTAAAATTGAAAGTCTGCCTCTTTTCGTTACAAGCGTTTTTGGAAAATAAAATACGCCTGAATGGACTTTCCATATCTTACTTTGATGATTTCAATAATAAAAGACAAAAATACAAAAGAAAGGAATAAAGGTATCTTCATCGGAGACTCCCTAACTGATCGTCAATCGAAGTCAACGGGATGAAAGAAACCAAGCAATTTGTTTCCTGCGTCACTTTTCCTTGCTGGTCTTTACAAAACACCATCAACCTCTGGGTCTCGTGCTGCGCACCCACAGGCACCACTAAGCATGAGTTCAGTTTTAAAAAATTGAGTAAAACTGATGGGGTGGTTGGGATAGCTGCGCCCACATGTATGACGTCGAAAGTAAGAGGGCGGCCCGCCACAACCTCAGAAGAAAGAGCCTTTTCGAGATTACGTCCATCGCCGCATATCATCTCCACATTGCCCCTTTCAATCCAGGATGGGAAGTGTTTTTTTATGGCAGAGAGAGAACTATTCTGAAGCTCTTTCACATGCTCGAGCCCAATGACTTTCCATGGCCGGTCGTTTGCTGCATTATGTGTGGAGCATATATCCGCCATGACAGCTGTGAGGTAACCGCTACCACTACCAATGTCTAAGATGCGTATATCTGAATCAGTCGAGGACGAAAGACGGTGCTCACCTATAATATACGGCGCCATCACCTCGAGTGCGATAGCGTGCATGTGCGGCGCGCTGATAGTGGCTCCATGGCCTATATACAGGGGTGAGTCCCTGTACGCGTCGACGGCTGAGAAGGCTGACGGGATAAACCAGCGGCGGTCGATACGACGCATGGCCGCGATAACCGTGGGAGACTTGAGAAGTTTTTTCCTAACGAGCGCTGAAACAAGCTCATCGTTGGTCAAACCAGAGCATGTCGATGACATTTTTGTAGTGACGTTACAGTAGTTATAAACGTGTACTCCTATGCAATGTTTCCGAATAGCGAAAAATGCAACACGTATTGTGAACCAAAAAGCAGACTTCGGATAAAGGCTTCACTTTTTTTCTTCTTAGATTAATTAGTGAATCACATCGAGAGGTAAACGGTAATGTTCGGGTTGCACCTCCGCCTAACAATCAGTTAACTCGTATACATTTTGGCATCAAAGAGCTCTCAAGTATTTTATCAAGATTTGATACGTTAATAACAAGTAAGCCCAACACGAAACGAAGCTAATCCAGCGAAACTTTTTCTGCTGCAAAGGAACGTACCATGAAATCAGAATCAATAAGAAGAAGATAGTTTCCATTTAATATAATAAAAGTTGCTGTTATTCCCCTTCTATCATATCCAACTCAACCATTCCAACGCACACTGTCTTGAGCGACCTAATCGAGGTGGAGTGCATTTCTGCGAGGAATTTTGGGAAGCCAATTTGAGAGGTAGCGACATTTGCCCATTGTCAACCAGGTGATGTTGGGATAACTTGCGAGACGGCGACCGCGAAGCACCAGACTCATCAAGGCATTTTTCGGACTGAAGTATAGAGGTTTCCCCCAATGGGTTTCGAACTGGAAAGGTTTCAGTGTGTTTCTCGCTTAATTGTTGAAGTCGCTGGCATAAGCGCCTGGCGTGCATGACCTCTGAGGCCATGAAAGCAATGTTGTTGGGCGTTGGTTCCACATGTTCGGAGAGGTCCTTATCCCATTCTGAGGGAGGCACCAACTGTTTTGATGGCGAATCCATCGGGGAGGAGACTTCTACCGATGTCGATGATGTTATGCTAGTTGATAGTGGTTCGGCTTCTCCTATTTTTTCTTTCCAATTCACTGGACCGCCAAGTATCTCCTCTAGTTGCCTTACAAAATGTACCATTGCCTCGAATTGGCTCATGTTTCCCAATCTAGACCATGCTTTATGCTTGTAGAGTTCCTTCGAATTCCAGAACGAGGGAGCGGCCTCCGTGCATGGCCCGTTCTCAGCTTGCTTTTGCAACGCGTAGAACATTAATTTTTGCTCATTATTAAGCAGTGTAGTACTCTCTAGATTTCGTATGCAACTATTGAAGTATAAGACTGCCTTGAAGTACTTTTCTGGATAGGTATAGTCCATAGAGGAACAAAATGGAACGACCTGCGGCTGCAATACTATATGGGTATACTCATATGTATAAACACCTTCACACTTTTTTGCTCTCTCAGTTAATTTTCCTAATTCAAGACCAACAAGTGATGAAATGACGAACCCACGAGGAATGCTTCCATTTCACGTAGCGACAACTTTCACAGTCAGGCATGGAATACCAGTGTTTTGCATGCGCGAAATCTTATCTATTGTGTATTCAACATGGAATAGCTCCAACTCAATAGATGTCAAAAAAAAAAGAACTATGTTGAAAATAGAATGCATGCGCGGTGGGTGCTGTTTCCATTTGAGCACTCCATAACCAACCATTTCACCTTTGAACGAAGGTTTTGAGAAAACAACACGAAATATTTGCGTCGAATTTTAGAAAAGACGCTATCGAATCACTTTTTCAGTTAAGGGGATTTCGCATAGCTTTGTTGTTATTTATTAACCATGGGAAATGGTGCATGCTAGAATTACCGATAGCCAAATGGGATCGACCACAAAATCGCGTTGATGCCAGCCTGGGCTATGAGAATGCGGCACGTCAATACTCATGTGCTTGCGTTTACCGTTGACTTCTTTATAAGACCCCCGCTCCCTCCCCCCCCCCTTCGGAGGCAATAGCATACGTATAAATGCCTTGAGGCGCCTGAGTAGGGAAACTGACGAGTTCTTTCTTTATATATACATACCCCCACAAGCGAGCTACTTTCGCACTGAAATATGGTTGCCATTTGGAAAGGTGAATATGACGCGATCCATCGATGGACAGCGATCATCATTCCAAGAAAGGGTCCAACTCTTTAAGTTCTAGCTTTGCCTAGCTGGACATTTTCCCTACGATTGGAAAGAGGAACTTACCAAGAATCTTAATGATTATTCCTTCGTCAAATTCGCTCTTTAGTAAGCTGTCCTTAATATTTCAAAAGGGCTTGCGCTGCCCTCATTTGCTTCTGCATGTGTCACGCAACAAAGAGAAAGCAAGCAACAACAACAATGAAGGATTCAACAAGATTACTTGAACAGAACTACCCCTCCTTTCCCCTCGCTCTCTCTCTCACAAGAACAAAAAAACACGTGAACAAATCTAAAAGCACTCGTCATTTTTCGTTATCCACCTTGGACTTCGGAAAACATCCACATACACACCCACATCAGTGTTGTCTTTCGTTTTCCTCGAATCGGTTGTTAGAACACATCAGCAAAATATACAACGGTTAGGAGAAACACGAGATGAATATTGTGTCACAGTTCAGTAGTGTACAACCTACCAGAATGGAGGATAAAGGAAAAAAGAAAAAGTCATAGCAGTGGTCCCAAGGAAACATCCACACGCCGTGGAGAGGTTTTTTTCTTAATACGGGGGGGCATAGTAGTCGTAGCCGTAGCCGGGGTAGCCCTGCCAACCCTTTGAGCCCCGCGACCCCGCGTACCCCTCCGGCGGGGGATAAAAGGGGTGGAAGGTGTCCTCGGGAGGGCGCGGAGCCCCTCCCCCCCCTCGTCCGACGCCACGGCCCGCCC